GTAAAGGGACATGATTCTTGTGATTCACTTTTAAGAGATTCAGAAGAGGCGCCTGGGTGGCTCGGTCAGTTAAGTAGCTGACTCTAGGTTTTGGTTCAGGTCATGATCTCAAGGTCGTGGAATCGAGCCCTTCGTCAGGCTCCACGCTCAGCTCAGAGTCTACTTGGGATTCCCTCTCTCCCTCTCCCTCTGCCCCTCCCCCTGCTCTTGCTCATGCTTGTGCGCCCTCCCTCCCAGTCTCTCTCTCAAATAAAATCAAACTTTAAAAAGAAGAGATTCAGGAAAAATAAAGAGGGAGTGCAAAAAATAGGGACAAAGTATAAATTGGCAAATTTGGGTAAAGGGCAGAGTATTAAGTTTCTTAGGATTGCTATAATAAAGTACCACAAACTAAAGGGCTTAAAGCAACAGAAATTTATTGTCTCATAGTTCTGGAGGCCAGGAGTCTGAACAAGGTGTCAGCAGGGCCACAGGGCTCTGAAGCCTCTAGAAGAGTCTCCTTCCTTATCTCGTCCAGGTCCTGGGGCCACCTGGTATTCCTCTGTTGGTGGCTGCATGGCTACCTCTGTCTTCACGTGGCCACCTTCCCGCCGCGTGTGTGTCCCGAGGGCTCCTCATCGTAACTTTCCTAATTACATCTGCACCCATCCTGTTTCCAAAATAAGGAAACATTCACAGCTACTAGGGATCAGGACTTCAGTGTTTCCTTTTTTTGGGGGGGCGGGGAATGCAGTTCAACCCCTAACTGGAGCTCTTTGTACTGCTCTTGCAACTTTAACGAAACTTGAAATTATATCAGAATAGAGTTACCAGAAAGTGTTAGCCTGTAAAAAGTGGTATTTGCTTATTAAGATGCCATCAGCTGCCTCTCATTAAAATTCCAGTATTAATGTGTTAGAGAATTATTACTGAATGAAAGCCTTGGCGGGTATATTCACTGACATTAAATTTTTACATAAAGCAACCAATACAAGGTTTATTTACAGGAAAGGTGCACTTATGGGTTCATATGTCATCTAATAGGCAGTAAGTAAGTTTCCTATCTGGCGGGTGGGGGGGTGATATATTTGAGTTCTATTTCCAATACCAAGGAACATAGGTTAGGACAGGCTGGAGTTTCGGTGGCCTTCCTTAGAGAAAATGTGCTTGGGGCTCCCCGTAGAAACCAGTCCTCAACCGAAGGAAGTATTTGAGGAGTGGATTTTGCGTAGATAACATTGATTACTTTCATTTCCCTGATGAAAACCAATCACGATGTGATTGATTGTCTTGAGGCCAAACTGAAGGACTTGCCTCAGAGTTGTATTGCGCAAGGATAACGTTTTGGTTGAGTTCTCACTAATGCAAGTTTTTCTTAATGCGCAACTGCTTCTTTGAGTAAGACAAAGAATAATGACGACTGTCAGTGTAAGAAATTTGACATCTGGTGATCAGGTGTAGGAATGTAGAACTAGGAAGGTGTTTTGCACACACACACACCTGTGCACGCACACACACTCCTCCCAGGGCTTAGTGTGCTCACGGGCACTGGATATAAACGAGAAACTATGTGTGCCTACCATCTATTCTCACTCTCGCTATCCTTTTTACACAGCCAGTTCCTAAGCCATCTGCTTTTATAAAGTACAACATTCAGTTATTATAAAATACTGTTTAAGCTTTGGAAAACATGTCGTGATGGCTTAGACAGTTGTTCTTTTCAATAGGGTAGGTGCGACCTTGGATACGCTTTGTCCTGTGTTTGAAAATCTAGCCTAAAGCCCTCACCTCATCCTGCTTCTCAGGCCCTTGAATGAAACAGTGGTGTGCGCTGTGAAATGCACACACCGACACATGGGGAAATGAGGTTTATGTTTGCTGTTGGTGCCCACATTCTGTACTGAAAATAGTGAGCCCTGTATCCACGGAAACACTGTAATTAATATGTGGCACAGTTCAGGAGCACTTTGCCCCGGCTTTGATACTCAGCACTCAAAAACCATTTAGTGGACTCTTAGCATCCGTGGAATGAAATTTGAAATGTGAAAAGAATTTTATTTTTAAAAAAAACGTATTTAAGAATATCATATCTGGAAGAGAAAAAATATTTTAGAATACATATATGTTTTCAAATTTCATATTAAAAAGGGACAATGTCAAGGGGATATTTTTATTGAATGTTTTATTGGCTCTCACTTTGTAAACTCGAGAAAATTCATTTTATGTTACTGAGTGGCTCAAAGTATTTAAAAAAATAAGTACTGGCACAATACGTTATGAATGTTACTAATTCCCAACCCCGTGGGCCGTTTCCTTTCTGTATGCTGGAAATTAGACCATCCTGATGGTATTAAGGCAGGTCTCTGACATTTTGAGAAGTCTTTGCAAGTCCTCAGCCCCTCAGTTCCAGTGGAATCTGTTAACAACTAAAATTCACACTAACACTTGAGCCAGTCACACTAAGAATGATAACCAGTCATGAATCTTATCAATGGTGGTTTTTTCCATTTTTGTTTTCTTAATAGATGTACAATTTCAGAAGTGTAATTCCAGATACACAGCTTCTCAGGGGATCCTTGAAGACCAGTGTTCTTAAATGCACGCAGTTCAGCTTGTTCGGGGACCTCTCCCAAGACCAGACGGTCAGGGTGGAGGTGGTCCAGCACCAGGACACCCACAGATGGGGTGCTCTCACCCTGTCCAGTGAGGAAAGAAAGAAGAGAGGGAGAAGAAGGGGAGAGGGAGATGGAGGGAGGGAAGGAGGAATGGAGGGAGGGAGGAAGGAAGGAAGGAAGGAAAGGAAAGGAATATTTACAAATATCCGTGTGAAGGAGCAAAGTCAGGAAATGTAAGTATGCATACGGTGGTTTTGTAATTTTATTTGTGCACCCTTAAAAATAAAAGTCAGGGAATTTAGTTAAAAATTATGAAAATTATATTTCTCTGCTTTAATTTTTAATAATTAGTCTAAGTTCAGTTTTTGCCTTTTTTGGGGGTTGGTTTTTTTTTTTTTTTCCCAGTAAACCTTTTTTAGTTCCTAACATGGGCCAGGCACCATAGCGGGGGCTGGTGGGGGCTACTATAAGGGGAGATAAGCTGTGATCTTTGATGAGGGAAGTTTCTCACCCCCAGGGAAGACTAACTTCTGTACGGGGAGAACACCTGGGAATTGAGCAGCGCAGCCTGGTGAGCGATGAATGGGTTGGAATTGCAGTGAATGAGCCCAGCTAAAATACTGAGCTGCAGGTGTCAGCTTGAGACTTGCTTTGTAAGAGTCTCATTACTTCTTACAGAGTAGAAAGAGTTCTCTCCAGGTGCACCATCCCCCTCAGCACCGAGTTGCCCTCCTATTTCTTTTTGTTGTTATTGATAATACCTGACTGACTCTTAGTTATATTCACTGTTGCCTTGTATCCAGATGTTTGGCAGAGATAAGATTCTAGCCCGACATTTATGCATTGGGGAGAAAAGAGAATGACTTGATTGACTTCGCTCATGAGTACTGAAATGGACAATGACACCCTACGGTTCTCTCTTTAACAATTGATACTTGAGTAGGTATGCAAAATCTTACTCTCCTGGTTGGACACTAAAGGAGAGGACTCATTAGCAAAGTCTGCTTAACAATACTGCCTCAAGTGATTTCCTTTCAAACTCTGAATACCTAAAAAAGATAAATGCACAAAGAAGATCCTTTGAAGTCTTAAGGACCTTAAACTTACACTTTTCCTTAGCTGAGTGAGAATTTGCATTATAGAACTTAAATTTGTTCAAATACAGCAGTATCTTTATATAATTATAGAAAATCGAATGTGCTGCACTCTGGGTGGTGAGGTGAGCGGCATAGTTCTTTGCAGGGCAGATAGCAAGGTACAGAAGATTTTGCCACTTGGATCTACTTTTAGTTTTGTCTTCACAGGATATTTAGAGCAGTCCTATGGAAACGCTGTGTGGAGTCGGTAAGGTATAGGAAGGCTGTTTGTTTAATACAGGTATAGAATAACAGAAGGCAAAATCTCCCGTTTTAGTGTATAAAATTATGAATGTCACACACCTTTTCATGAAACCTTAGGAATTCGGAGAGTATATAAACTTCAGTAACATTGCAGCACAGAATTGTATTCAGTAAAGAGAATAGGGGAAGACTTTCATTGCCTTGACCTGAGTTCAGTGACTCGTGATTGGGAGGTGAACGGGGAGTCTTGGTCAATGGGTACGTTTTTATGCCATGCCCTTGGAGAAGAGATGCAAACCATGCCTGATAAATATTATGGGGCTCATTAAAGATTTATGTGAGCAAATTTTTTTCCCAAAGGGAAAAATACATCTGTCATTGTATTTAAGCTGGAATGGGCGGCGGGGTGGGGCATGCATCCTCAGAGGTGCTTGATGAAGGGTGCTTTGAAGGTAAACAATGTGTCATGGCCATATTTAATGTACTTCATCCATTAATATCTACAGATTGTGCTTTTTTCAGAAAATAGTTTCTGGAAAGAGAAAAAAAAAAAAAAGACAAATAGCCGGAAGCCATTAGTCCAAGCCTTTATTCAAACATAGTAGTGTGAGAATAGCTCTCAAATGACTTTCTGCAGAAGAGGTGCTTGAAGAGCTTATAGGATAGTTTGGGGAAGATGGGTCGAAGTTCGTAGAAAAGTTCTCCATGGAGACTCTCCGAAGGCATGGGGAGTTTCTACTGTGTTAGAAACAAGACATAGAGGTGCGGTTGGCTCCTCAGTCGTGGGCTGGATATTTGGGGTTTAGCTAGAGGGGTGGGGAGAAGTGGTCAGGGCTAAGGTCTTGCAAAGGTCAATTGAACGTTTTTAGCCTATTGGAGTTTCTCACAAAGTAATTATTGTATTTGTCTTGCAACGTAATTATAGTTTCCTACAGGATTCTCCAGGGTTGTATCTAATACAGACTTTTCTGGACCTGTTTCTCCACTAACACAGAAGTGAAAGCTTTGACCTGCTTTCTTTGCTAACAGTATACATCATTTTTTGTTTGTTCTTTTTCATTTACAGGCTGGAGCCAACGTCCTTCTCCAGGATGTTAATGGAAATATCCCGTTGGATTATGCTGTAGAGGGGACAGAATCCAGTTCTATCCTGTTGACCTATCTGGATGAAAATGGTAGGCGGATGCTTTGAAAAACCGTACAAAGATTTAAAGACAGCATGGTAGAATTACAAATGCATGCTTATTTTTTAGGCATGCTTACATGATTGCAGATGGATGTGCTTTCCCTAGATTGGATAACGTGAATCTTTTTCTATAACATTTCATTGTTCCCACCACGATGCATTGTTGATTCAGTCAATGCCGTTTTGCAGGGCAGCAGAAATCTAGAGGCTAGAAATGAAGGAACATTTTAACAAGCATCTGAAGTCCGTAATCAGTGGCACTGGGTTTGTAATTATAATCTATTCTCCACTGGGAGGGCAAGGGAAGTGAACCCGCACAACTGAATTTTGAGTTAATGAGAGCCAGGTCATCTGAAGTGTATTCTCTTAGGAGCGGGTGGTCCTTGCAAGAAGAACACGCCCGTAAGTAAGTGAGGGCTTAAGTCAAGGGCAACCTGCACAGCATCCCAGCACCCACTGTTGGTGACACTTGGAAACACCAGTGTTGGAGGCAGGCTCCTGGGTCACGGTGCTAGCCTGAAGAGATGTGCCCCAGCTCCCAGCTATCTCTCCTGACAAAGAGTGTTTAATTGCGCAGACTAAACATATAATTTCATGAATAAGTTCAGCACTGGCAAAGTGGGAGGTATCTGCAGTCCTGAGCCCAATATGGTATTAAGCTGAAGAAGTGTGCCACTTTTTTTTCCTTTCCGTTTAGGTATAAATAACAACAAAGAAACTCCAATCCCTTCAAGTATGATCTTTTGTCAGACAAAAAGTTTAAAAATTTTAAGAGCCACACAGCGCTTCTGACTCTGGCCTTCTTGCTTCTAAGAAAAGCCCTCACATCTGCCTCTTTGTTCCCTGTGCTCTCTGCCTCCTCCAGATCCCTTGTATCAAAAGGTTTATTCTGAGGATGGCTTAGAATAATAATAATTAGTACTTAACAGCCACCGAGTTCTTAAAAAAAATTATCTCATTAATTCTGAAAGCGGGGTGAGTACCATTATCTTCATTAGGGACGATGTGAGCCAGCCGGGCTGTCCTACCGAAGGTCACAGAGTCTCCAGGCTGGGGTGACAGAGACAGCGTGGGGGAAGGCGTGTGGCTCCCTGCTCTTCTCCTCACTCCATGTACCTGCTCCTTACGTGAGGGTCACATTCAGATCTTTCATCCTCTTGTCAGCGGTGACTCCTTGGGGACAGATTCCATCACTTCTAAGGGGAGGGAAGCCTGACGTCATGCACATCCCCGGCTGCAAAATTCATTGTTTGGACCTTTGCAAAACTTGGACTGGAGGTGCCCACTTCTGAGTTTGCACGCAGAACTCAGTTGTGTAGTATTAGCTGACTGAATTCTATTTAACACCTTTCTGCTCTTCTTCTTCTGAGTTTCTTGTAGCCACAGTGGTAAATATTTCTCTTTGAAAATTAAAATCAAGTATCTTTATTTGCAAAAGAACTCACCTGACTGATAAGCCTTTTCAACTCATCCAAGGATTTTGTTTGATAAGAAATTTTAGTATTTGCAAAAGCAGTATTATCTACCCTCTATAAAGAAAAATAAGTGTATTCCTTTGGGAGGTTGATTTAATTTTTTTATTTTTCATTTTTGTAGAGAGAGCTCGAGCAGGGGTGGGGGAATCAAAGGGAGAGGGGGAGAGAGAGAGAGAGAGAGAGAGAGAGAGAGAATCCTCAAGCAGACTCCCCGCTGAGCACAGAGCCCTGACAGAGGGCTCGATCCCACAGCCCCGAAACCACGACCCCAGCTGAAACCAAGAGCCAGATGCCAACCAGCTGAGTCACCTGGGCGCCCCATGAGGTTGATTTTAAATGTGATTAAGGGAGAAGAAAGAGGGGGAGGCATTGACTCTGAATGGTTAGGAGAAAATCTGTCACGACGCTGGCTGTCACAATCAGTTTGTAACATGCATGTTTGCTGGAACAAATTCAATTTAGTATCTCCTCAGTTTTTAATTCTGTTTTTCATTTGTCCCTGCCTCCCACCCATCTGCCCCTCCCTCGGGTCATTCAGTCTGCTCCCCGGTCCTGCCGGGGTCCCTCCTCCGTGTCTGTATTAGCTGCCACGCTTGCCGGGAATACTGTCTCATTTGATTTATTCTCTGGCCCCCTCGTCGGTGTGCTTTTAGAGTTATCCGCTATGACAGCGTGGGCTGATAGCCTCAGAAATTTCTAATATCCCACGACAAGATTGTCATTACTATTTGGCTCTCGGTGTTTCTGCACTGCATTCTTAATAGCTGGGTGGTTGCAAGTCCTTGAATTTTCTGTGCGCTTCCTACAGTTTCCACACCGAGTACTTATCACGCTGTCCCATCAGGATGCATGTGGCAGGAGGCAGGCGAGGTCGTGAGCAAGCTGATTATGTGGAAAATCGCTGGTCACAAGTTCTAATTGTACTGTCGCCGCCGACACACACTGTCCATCCCGGCACAGCAGTTAACCTCGGCTCACCGCCCGAGCTCCCCAGAGCGCCGACTGAGCGCACGATGCATCTTGGCTCTGCCGCGCGAGGGGAACCCACTGGCTTTCGCAGAAAGCAATGGATTTATAAAATGATCCCGCAAGGGGAGAAAGCGCCACAGGGGGAGCACAGGGTGGTCCGGGATGGATGCACGGCTCGGGGAAGAATATCTGCTTTCCACTCTGCTCCCTGTGTTTCATCACCCAGCTCCCTCTCTTCCTTCCATGGACATCCATCCTTTTAGAAGAAGTCGATCCCATTTATTCTCCTGAGCTCCTGGTCTCCTCTACCGAGCCCACTGAAGTTCAGCTTCTTCCGCTGCTGGAAATGCCCCTGCAGGGATGGCCATTGCCTCCTTGGCTCTCTGTGGGCGGATCACCCTTCTGTTCTGTGCTCACTAGCCTCCCTGTGACCCCCATCCCAGTGTTCTGTGCAACCTCGTTCACCTGCAATGATCGTTTGTACTCTTCTCCGTTCTCTTTGAGCTTTCACTTAGTCTCCTTTGGAGACTTGCACATGCAGATGCCAAAATATGGACGACTGCCAGAGCTATTGTCTTTGTATATCTTCTTCCAGCCCACTGCATGCTATTTCGGGCTTATCTCACCCCATTCCTTGTGTGGGGACCACCTGCCTGCCCCCGGGAATACTCCTGCAGCTTAGATATCTCTGAAGACCTTCTGCTCTGCAATGTGCAATTTTTAATAAAGTTAAGGTATCAGACTATTTGAAATAACACGCCCAACATGGAAATTACCATTCTCCTTGTGTGCCCTATCCATATTCTGTTGTACCCTTTAGCCAGGAATCCGACCATCTGAATGTCACTTCTCTTTTCTAAATCTCTCATGTTGAATTGTCACCAAATTTCATAGATTCTGCTTCCCTGACACCCCTCTGCTATGTCCCCATCCCTCACTGATTGTGCGGTTGCTGCCTTCGTTAAAACCCTGGGTTGTCTATTTTTGGAACAGCCTGGGAAACTGGCTGAGCTCTCCGAATCTTCACAAGACTCCCAGATACATGAGTGCATGGTGCCCTCGTGTATTTCTTCTGCATAATAAAGTTCATTCAAAATGCTGTCCCCGCACCACTGTCTTGGGAATCACCCACTGTTAGTGTGGCAGTGTGTTCCAGGGTGCCTGGAACAGTCCCACATGATGCTTCTGGTCAGGATCGAGGGGAAGGGATCGGGGGCAGGGCTAAAACACCCTTTTGGCTTGAACATGTTTATTTTTCTTTGCTAGAACCAGCTTCCTTTTGTTGCCTGCCCAGAGCAGCCTTCAACTGTTGGATTTAGCAAGCTTAGGAAGCTTCCTATGGAGACAAAACGTAGAGTTGGGACTTCTAGGAGCTGAGAGAGTGCTGTGCCTCCATCAAGGGGCTGGTCGCGTGGGCGTGGTGGTACAGTATTATCTGCGCTAGCAGCGCCGAGTCCCCACCCCCCCAGCCCCCCCAGGGAAGAAGGGGTAATGGAGAAGAGGAAACATGGAATTGTTACAAAAACAATGTTATCATAAGAGGGACAGTTAGGGAGATTAGTTACCATAGGGTTTGGACTGACTTGAGGTGTTACTGCAATTTCAGTTCTGCACATGTACCTCCTGATGGTATCAAATGTAATCAGGCAATAGTAGTTAGTAGCATGTGGAATCACTTGTGAATTTCAGGCAAATGATGTTTTTCTTATTTCCTAAATGAAAAAAAAATTACCAAATTCCTGTCAAAATGATAAAGCTAATCAGGACTTCTATTAATGGTTTTCAGAAAACGGGATGAAAATAAAACTTAATTTCTTTGGGGAAAAAAAAAAAAGACAGGCTTGGCCAATTGCCCATTACAAAATAGTCTTGTTATGCCCATAGTAAGTCTTGGCTGTTTTTCTCCTGGAGCAGCTTGAGAAGTTTGACCAAGAAAAGAAGGGATTTCTGTTCTGTTGTCTTACTGAAAACAGACTTATGCTTTTTTCCTGAACATATAATGAAAATCTGAAATCACATTTTACTTGGTATCATATTTGGTTCAAAATTAAGTTTTAAAATAATAAGATACAAGGTCATAATATTCCCCTCTGATTCCTTCACAACAATGGCTAAAATAGATTGCTTTCTCATGGCACATCGTAAGTGAGCTGAAATGAGTGATCTCTAATGTGTTTTTAATTTGTCTTTTATCTTTGAGCCCTGTTCTTCTATCATTCAGTTTTAACCATGTGTTTAAGTAATTCTCTAAAAGATACATACCACTCCCATAAACACTGCCACATTATAAAAGTTAGAATAATGTAACCATCAGATTCTTCTGCTGCTTCCAACTGTGCAAAATTGAACACTGACATTTGAGAAATAATATTTTCCAAAATTAACTCACATGTTCAATTCCATCATCCTAAAAATAAGAAGAGAGTGATAGTTTTAGTTGGTTCTTAACAAACCTCAAAGCAACTCTTAGGGGAAATCTGTTCGTTCTTCCAACATGGCGTGTGGAGATTCCAAAGCTGGTCATTGGTGCCCCTTCATGTCTCTACTAACATGGGTTTACTTTGGACAGAGTATTTGAAACAGCCCACATTATTCAAATAGTGCATTTGGCTTTATTATGTTTGCTTCTTGCCTGCCTCTTTTTGACAAGAGGCATAATGAATGGCATGTAAGCCCTGAAGCGGGGAAGCTGACGCAGCACTAAAACCCGGGCAGGCTGACCCCTGAGGCCATGCTCTGATGTTCAGCCAGGCTCCGGGAGAGAGTTGTGCCACAAGGCAGAGGTGCTGGGCTCTGAGGGGAAAATGAGGGCAGGTATGCAACAGGCTGGATGCTCTCTGCCCCATGGACAGATCCTAGAAATCGTGTCTGTAGCTTCTTCGCTCCTTTGGGATATATATTATTATCGGAGTGAGTGCAGATGTGGGAGATCCGACAGGTTAAGTTCCTTTCCCAGAGTTGCCCCAGAGGAGGTCAGCCACAGACTGGCATGACCAGGGGAACCGCTCCTGGTGGCCTTGGAGCTCTGGTCCCCTGCATCCTGCCCACCTCCACATTTGCTGCAAGGACTCAGTCAGAAGGGAGAGGGAGAGAGTGCTGGTTCATAGCAGCCACTGGGTGAGAGGCAGATGTTAATGGTCACCATCATCATCATCATCATCATCATCATGATTACTTTCCCTGACAATAAGGTGGATTATTTCCCCTTAGTAAACACCTGTTATGTCCAGGAACCAAAGCTGGGAACGGAATGCATAAATGTGAAGGTATGAGCTACCGCAGAGATTCACGATCGTGAAAGCTCAGGTTAAAATGAAGGCCATGAAGATGTATGGACAGGCGGTGAGCAGACCTGAGTTCTCCATGGCCGCATCCCCCACTCCTCAGTCAAGTTGGACAGCCAGTTCTTTACTCTGCTTTAGTTGATTCCTCTTTATTAACACAAAGAGTCATGAAATGCTTGATTGGAGAATCTCTTTAAATGTTTTGAAAGCTTTTGAGATAGATGGGAACATTGTGAAAATAGCACAGGGAGATTCCATATACGCTTCACCCAGTTTTCCCATATCACCAATCTACACGGCCTCACTATGTTGATCCAAACTACGGAGTTAGTGTGGGTACAATACTATTCACCAAACTATAGATTTATTCAGATTTTTCCAGTTTTCCCACCATAGGCAGTTTTCTGTTCCAGGATACCACATTGCTTTCGGAAGCAACTCTTTTGGCCAGGAAATGATAGAGAACAAAAACTATATTTTATAACTCACTTCAGTTCAATTCAAACTGTTTAAAATACTTTGGGCAGTGTCCGTTGATGATTTATATACTAAACCAGAGATGCAGTGAGAGCCTGCCATGGATAAGGCATCATATCGCATCTTTGGGATAGAATAAGAGGAAAATTACTGAAGACTGTATTCTAGCTGAAAATAGAATGCATGCCGAGAAAAACAATTATACAGACTCCGAGTGAGAATTCAAAGTGTAAGAGGGGCTTCAAAGAGGAACGCGTTGAAAGAACAGTAAGATAAAGCTAAGGGTTGACCCCCAAGCAGCTGAGAAGCATCTCTGCCTTCTGATTGAAAGGCTGTTTTCCTCCTAGGAGTGGATCTGACCTCACTGCGCCAGATGAAACTTCAGAGACCATTGAGCATGCTAACGGATGTCAAGCACTTCTTATCAGGTGGTGGAAATGTCGATGAGAAAAATGATGAAGGGGTAACTCTGGTAAGTTTATGTAACTGACTCCAAAATATTGCTTAAATAGAGAATTCCAGTTGATTTCTACTGCATAGAATTGGGTACAATTAACTTGTAAAAATGTCTTTTTTTTTCTGATCGTAAAAGTACTACATATTTATTGTAAAAATCTTGGAAACACCTAAGTATGCAAAAGGAAAATAGAAATCATGTATGTCACCGCTCAGAGAAAACCAGGGGTTCTAGGATGATATATTTTCTTCAGGACTTCCTTCCATGTATGTTTAAAAATTGAGAATAATTTTTATGCATTACTTTGTCAGTGTGATATCTGAACTGGAACTTATAGGATAATGTTTTCATTTTAATTTAAGAAAAACAATTTATGGGTTACTCTGGTGAATGAATTTCTAAATCCAAGCAAAATCATGTCATTACTTTTTTTATAGCTATCAGGCACAGTTGCAGTGATGTAAAAACAGTACAATTAAATTGGATTAATTCTAATATAAGCATAATGTCTAATCATGAAAATAAGAAACATTTGGACTATTGACCCATAAAATGTACTTGAACTGGGCATGCTGGTGTTAAAGTTAATTGCTGTGGAACTAAATGGGTTGAAGCTCAGGGAAGAAAATTGAGAGAAATTAAACTAGCAGACGGGACTATGATGTTTGAAGCATGGGGTGCATAGAAGTGTCAGTTTCTACCACGGAAAAAATAAGGTGTGAGGTTGAATACAGTGATGAGAGAAGTGACTTGTCTAAATGGATAAAAGTGGTGTGAGACCTGATTCAATTTTAGACTTATTAAATGCCAATCAAGCACTTTGAGACCTCTAGGTAGAATACTCTTCCTAGATACTGATTTTGGACTTTGGAATATAAATTTCAAAAGACTATCAAAAAAACTTAATGCCCAGTTATAAGCAAAGAAAACAAAGTATGTTTAGAATTTATTGAAAAATCACACATTCAAATGGAAAAATATTCTAATTACTCTATCGAGGAGCTATTAATTAACCACCTCCTGTGAACAAAATAATAATGAACAAAACCACAAAAATCCTTTTTTTGTGGGCTCACATTTCATTGGGGAAGGTACATAATATGCAATATAAATGAGCTAAATATATAGCATATTAATAATGATAAATGCAAAGGAAAAAATAATAAAACAAGACAGGGAGGTGCTGAGTGTGTTGTTGACATTTTGGAGGCACACAGGTAAGGTCTCACTGACCAGGAATTTTGAGTAATGATCTGAGAGAGGTCTGCACACACCACAGGTGTGCACAGGAGCATTTCAGGCTGAACAGTGCTGGATGTAAAGGCCCTGCAGCAGGGGTGGGTGTGTTGTGATTTAGAAACTGCACAAGGGCCTGTGAGGCTAAGCAGAGTAAAGGAAAGGAGGGAGGTAGCTGGCCCAGATCCCACAGGGTCTGCACACCTGTGTGAGGATGTAGTTTCTCTGAGTGTGACGGGAACACGTTGGAGGGCTCTAAAGAGAGTGAGACATGGTCCTACTTCAGTTCTAAAAGCATCACTCGCTCTGACTGCTGTGTTAAGGATGGACTGTCAAAGGGCAGGGCTGACGCTGAGAGTTCAGGCAAGAGGCTTTTCCAGTAACCCAGAGGTTGGTGGTGTGGCTCAGACAAAGCTGCAGGAAGCTGAGGGGGTAAGAAGTGGCTAACTTCCGTCTGCATGGAAAGAAGATCCACTGGAACTTCCTGATGGCCAAGTGATGGGAGAGGAAGGGTGACTGCAGAATGACTCCAAGTATTTTTTGCTTGAACAACTGGAGTGATGGAGTTGACATCAAATGGGACAATGAAGGCGGAGGACAAAACGAGCTTAGAGCAGGGACAGTGTGGGAAGCATAGAGCTACAACTGCCTCTGAGCCATCTTCATGGGGATGTTGAGTTTGTGGTTGGATACTGGAGTCTGGAAGTCAGGAGCTGTCTGGGCTGCAGACTCAATTTTGGGAACACTAGCATGTACATGACATCGAAAGCCTTGACCTTGGATGAAATCACAGATTTGATCCAGAAGGGAAGAGAATTTGGGACCGAGCCATGGAACTTAGGAAGAAGAGAAAGATCCAGAAATGAGACTGGGACAAGGTAGGAGGAAAACCAAAAGAATAAGATGTCGCAGGAGGCAAGGAAAGGAAGTATGAGGAGGAGGAGGAGGAGGGGGAGGAAGCCGAGGACTAGCAGATACCGCTGGGAGATCAAGTGCCTGGAGATGGTGAATTGGCCGTTGGACTTAGTAACCTAGAGGTCGTTGGTCTTCTCAGCGAGGACGGTTTTACTGCAGTGGGAGGCTCAAAATCCGCACTGGAGTGGGTAACGGTTCTTTGAACACATGGAATGCACTAATGTCCAGCCTAGAAACCCAATAGACCTTTGCTTCTCTGTTTGGCAGAAGACATTACAGCTTTATATTTCTTTTAAAAAAGATCCCCACTAAATAAAAAAATAGCATGAGTGTTTCAAATACCGCTGAACAAAAGGACCCACCTACTTCATTAGCGAAGCTGTGGAAAGAATCAATACAGAGCCATAAATTGCTATCGTGTTCAACCATCTTCAGTGTTGACATTCTTTGTGACTTGTTTCTATTGAGCATTGAGCATAAACGTTGCAAATAATTGTGTAATAACTAAATGATCATCTCTGAGCTTTTTATGAGGGAAGTAACAGTGACTGGGAGGCTAGGAAGTTGTTCCTTGAAGATGGCTCTCAGCATTTAGCAAGTGGCGGTTTCGGTGGATTCTTACATCTGAATTGGTTAGTCTATCATGTTAATGACTGCCACCACCCTGAGCTGGCCTCCAAATTGTGCGCATTCTGGTCTATTGTAGGTGGGAACAGTGGAAGACACTCTTCCACAGATTTCTGTATCCTGAGTTGGGATGCCAGTTGTGGTTTAAAATTAGGCATCATTTCCCACGCTGTTAAATTGTGCAAAAAAGATAAAGCTGTCAACAAAAGGCTCAGTGCCGCTACACTTCTAGTATGTTGCCTTTTTCTCCTCTGTTAGAATATGCAATAAAGTAACCAAACATAATGTAGCTCTTTGAAAAAGACCTCTTGGTTTACACAGATATTCTTCTTAGAAGAAAACAAAGCCTCAAAAAAGGATACAATTCCAAAAAAAAAAAAGCTGTTACAGAGCATATGGAAATGCGTTCCTGAGTTCGAGCTCGTAGATGCTCTTTGAAAATATGACTTGTAATGACTTTCAGATCCATTATGAAGACGCTGGTTCTTTACTCTTCTGTCACAGAATTTGATATATAACATCTGGCCTTGGGACTCATTTACTTGGTTTGTTGGAAAATAATTATTCGTGAGATGCAAACATCAAGCAATTTTATTTTTGTCTCCCTTTGTTATTTCAGTATGTCTGGTTCATCCCTTACTTCTGAATGAAGACTTAGCCAGTGTCATCAGCTTTCTGGCCATTTTTAGGGAATAGAGCTTTTATGGTTACCTTATATCACAACACATAGCCTCAGTTTAGAGATTGGAATGTCTGGTCCTATATAACCATGAAAAGTCTCAGCTTACATGAAGTCAGGGTTCACTGATCTTTTTTATGCCATATTACCCTCTAAATCTTGGGTGTAGCTGTGGATTCCTTGTCAGAATTATGTTCTTAATGTATTAAAAATTGTACCTAGAATTACGAAGAAACCCAGTTATATGGAAACATCATAATCCTAATATTAAAATTAAATTTGTGATTTGTAATGCACGTGCTTCTTTATGAAGGCACTGAGTAATGGATGTAATCATTACCATGATGTTAGAGTAGAGTTGAGTATGAGGGGTATTTGGAGATGCCTGCTGTGACCACAGTGTGATAGGACCATATTTCTTTCGATGATAGCATTGTAGGTGTGTAGCCTAGGTTCACCATTGAAGAATTTGCTAAATTTCATTTTGGGTTAGAAAAAAAAATAAAACTAACCATTTTCCCATTTCCAAGTTTGCAGATCCCCTGAATCTCTCCCTAAATCCTGCAGGGGCTGGTGGGCTCAGGTGCTGAGGACCCTGATCTCAGTGAAATCTTGAACCTGCGGCTCGCATAGTGTTGTGTCAGACCAGGGAGTCCGTGGGAGGGAGGGTGGCTGTGCTCATCTGCTTCCCCTGCTGCCACTGCCTCTTCTTCCGTGTCACTGAAGTGGAGAGAGAGGAGGAGACACATTGGGACCTGGAAGGCTTTGACTTGACTTTCCTTGAGAGGATGTTCTCCTCTCCGGGCAAGAAGCTGACCCCTTCCCTTGTGAGGATGTGGGGGTTCTTCAGACACCACCTCCTCACCCCCGTCACTGGGAATCTCCAGAGGGTCCTTCATACCTGCCTCCACTCTGGGGAACCAGGGGTACCCCAGCCTGTCTCTGCCGAACCATGCTTGCTCCTCAGGCATCCCTCTGAAACAGAACTGAAAACGAAAATGGCTTGTCCCCGGAAAATGCTCCCTGTGTTTGTCTTTGCCCCTGCGAACTCATGAGCGGATGCCAGTGTATCCGCGACTCCCCTTCACTGCCCACGAAAGCAGAGAGCCAGCCTGTCTCTTGCCCTTTCCTTCTAGTCAGGAATCAAAACCAGTACTAGTGTCTCCACCAAACCCCCGAGGACACAGAGCTTCTGTTGGTGGCCACTGAAGCCAAGCTCTCCTGACTTGAGTTAGGGAGGAATCCAGGCCCCACTGCCACACAAAAATTTCCCACATGTGCAGTCTCCCTTTATCTCTCATTTGGAGCTATTATGCCCTCAGTCTAGACGTAGAGGTGAAAAGTAATCTAGGCTGGGACACCTGGCTGGCTCAGTCAATAGAGCGTGAGACTCTTGATCTTGGGGTTATGAGTTCAAGCCCCACATTGGGTGGGAGTATAGAGATAAAACATTAAAAAAAAGTAATTTAGGCAGTTTTTAGACAACTATTTTCAAATGTCCATATTTGGTCTCACTTTGAGATGTGATACGTATTAGCTTCCTACTCAGTCAAAACTATGGCAGGAAAAATCCTCTGTTAATATTCTGATAGAAAACTAGAATTGGAGAAAATTCACAGTTATTGGTTCAAAATCTGGACTAATTCCTGTAGGTGTTTGAACAGCTATTCCTCAAGATTGATTTTCATTTACTCCTAAAATAATTTTCATCTAAATTTGACATTAACCTCAGACTGACCTGCCAGCCTTAGAGTGGCAGGGGTCACAGATCTTAAATAAGACCACATTCCTTGGGAAGATACTTTAAAATTCACACACAGATTCTTTTTAAAAATGAGATTCACAAATAGAAGACTGAGTAAATGACTTAACAATGAACCCCAGTTTCCATGTTACACAAAAGAAAGGAGTTAATTCTGGGTGGAGAAAGCCCTTCCAATATCCAAATAGGGAGAGAAAGCACAAAGGGAAATACTGAGATCATTGACCATGACAAAAATTAAAATGAATATTTGTGCATTAAATAATGAGCAAAATTAAGAGGCAGATAATAAATGAGGAATAATATTTGCAGCAAGTCTTCCAAAGCGTTAATAGTTTTAAAAAACACAGCAGTCATAGAAATGAATGAAAAAGATCACCATCTCTTGGTAGAGTCAATACACAAAAGAAAATACAACTACCCTCCAAATATATTAGAAGAGACCAATTTTTAGGAATTCAGTACGTTGAACTTATTTATAGTCATTTTAGAAATACGTAATAGTGAAGACTAGAAGGCTAAGGGTCTGTGAGGGAGAGTCCCTCCACACACCACTGGATGAGGTGTCAATTGCACAAACACTGCCAAACTCAGTGTATGTAAATACATTGAAAAATGTTCATTATTTTAGAATCGCAATTCTATTTCTGGGAATGTGTCAGGAGGAAATAATCAGAGAGACAAATATAGTGATTATCGACAAAGCGATCTTCTGTAAAATCAAAAATACGACAAACGCATAAAAGCCCAATAATGAGGAATTGGTCAGGTGGATGGTAATGCTCCACAGGATTGTGCACCGTGCTCTCCCGAAGAACAGCCAGTTAGAAGAAGAGCACCATGGTGAAGAGGTGGGACAGTCCTCAGGCTGAGTTCCATCGTTCCATGGATGTGACTTTTGTTGGTTTATCATTCTCTCTGTCTTGACCCCAGCCTCACACACCACCTGTGTGAGGAAGAGGCTGTTCAGAGACGATCGTGCTACTGCAGACTCCTAGCTGGGGTCCGAGACTCTTGTGGGTCTTCATATCTGAAAGATGCAGGACCTGGTGATGGTTTTGATCAGTATGAGGAGGCTACACACCATGTTTAACACATGCGGCTTCCACCTCCATGGGTGTTGGGTCAGGGGAAGGCTGAAACAAGTGTGTAAATGGTGGGCATCTTCCAGAGACCACTGTTTTAATACAAGATAAGGATATTGGGGAAGGGGTGGTTTATAGGAAGAAGAAAAATTCCGTTTTTAAATCAATAAATTATGGGACGAACACAAGGATTGTTAGGAGCACTAATAAATTGTGGTTTTTACCCTGGTGGCCTGGCCGACTCGGGTGTCCACTCCCGTATGCTGTTTCAGAGAGTCGGTGCTGGATAATGCAGAAGAACGTGGCTTCAGCCCCCAGGGGCCAGGCTCCTCTGGGCTGGTTGCCTAAATTAACTCATCCCCAATTTTTGCCTCTGCAACATTAGGACAATGATCATTGCATCACAGGCTGTACAGACTAGAAGGAATAATTGATAACTTTTTTTTTTTGGTGAAAAAATTTATCTTTAGATTTAGCCAGCTGGACTCAGTTTAGATGATTCCAATTTTGTTGGCAACATCCAAAGCATCATAGTCAGGAGCCAGTCGAACATATGCCTTCTTCTCTGCATCACGCCTGATCAAGGTGTTGACCTTGGCCACGTCAATGTCGTAGAGCTTCTTCACAGCCTGTTTGATCTGGTGCTTATTGGCCTTGACATCCACAATGAACACAAGTGTGTTGTTGTCTTCTATTTTCTTCATGGCTGACTCAGTAGTCAGGGGGAGCTTGATGATGGCATAGTGATCAAGCTTGTTTCTCCTGGGGGCGCTCTTTCGAGGATATTTGGGCTGCCTCCGCAGATGCAGTGTCTTGGGTCGTCGGAATGTAGGTGATGCGTGGATCTTCTTTTTTTTGTGACTGTGGACGCCTTTCAGCACTGCTTTCCTGGCCTTCAAAGACTTTGCTTTGGCTTCGGCTTTGGGAGGGGCAGGGGCTTCCTTCTTAGCTTTTGGCACCATCTTCGTAAAAGGGCATAATTGATAACTTTTATGGGCAGCGTTTGTGAAGCGGCTCTGAAACCTTGTCCTGCGTTGTAACTGGATAGGTGATTTCCAACCTGCCATAATTTTCCAGGACTGTCCTTTTGCAATCGTCCTTCCAAGAAGCTGCTGCTAATCGTTTACGGAAAGAGTAGCTGCCTCCGTGTTTCTCCTAAGACCCCATAAAATAGCAGGAAAGGAGTATTCTAAGACACCATGGGGATAAACACTTTCACATTTTGGCACCTGACATCTTCCAGCATTTGTCAGGACAAGGGAGGGGTATAACTTCCATTTCAGAAAATAGACATCTTTTAAGCTCTAACTTAGTGATGAGAACGGTCTCCTGGGGGCTCTGAAGGCTTGCTTATGGATTCCGAAGTTGATTGCCAGTAGCATCAAGGTAGAGCCTCTGAGCTCTTAATATCTTACTATGATGAATTTTTAAAATTCTGTTATCTCTTGTAAGGAGTGGAAATACTCAAAGTCAGGGGTTTTTGCCTTCATTTTGAGATTGCCTAGGATTAAATTTGTCTGCCTCCAGAGATGTCACTGGGAACTCATGCTTTGGATAGCTTTTCTACCAAGTGAGCCAAGACTTTCCTTTTAGTCTTTTCCTTGAGAGCAGTGCCTGAGATGGCAGGGCAGGAGCTGGGCTGAGTTTGAAATGGGAGAACCCGATTTTTGCCTCGTGGAAAGCAAATCTACTCATTAAGGAGTTCATCCTTAATGCAAGTGAACTTGACTTTGTTAGGATCAGGTGCTAACCAACAAATGGTCAGTGAAAACCTTCTCAGATCCAGATATTAGTGCTCACTGTTCAGAGTAACCTTCGAATCACCTGATTATTCAAGTAATGTAGAATAAATTTAGGAGCAGTTGAAAGATTGGTTTTCCAGGAGATCAAGCGTATAATATTATATTTCTCTAAAATACTTGGGGTGGATATTTTATTCTTGGGACTGTTTGCTAGAATATTAATGAGGCAAATTTTATATATAACAAAGTACAGGAAGATTGATGTGAAACTTAATCTCTTAATGTTTATGCCTTAGATTGGATAAATGTATTTGTTCTTTTGGTGCAATTAAATACGAGAAATAAGCATATAAATACATGCTGTACGTGAAAGAGCAAAATTAAGTCCAGAGGTAGAAAAGCAAATGTTTTTGCTAGATTTTATTAATATATCTGTATGTGTATTTAATAAGTCCTTTGACTTTATTGTAATTTTATCTTTGTAATAAAAAGAAGCTACAAAATTCCATGCTACAAAACCAAGAAGAAATCATTGGTTTACTACTTTTATATTCTTCTTTTGCCTTCGTTGTAGTTTCTTATTGTTATGCTTATGAAATCAATCACGTAGTTACTTAATAACCTAATTTAAATTGTGCTTGATGACAGTTTACTTACAAATCAAGGCTGCTGCACTGGAAACAGGAATTACCCCATCTGAAAAGTCTGAATAGTCTCCAAACCCTGATCCCATCGATTGTAGCTCCTAAGGCTTCATTCCTAAACTTCAGGTTGCATTCATAAACTAAACTGGGAGTATGTTCAAATGAGAGCTACATAATCATTTTAAGGTCTGTCAGGATCAATTCAGTCTTTCCAGTGTGCCTGCCCCTTTCTCCTATTCCTAAGCATCGAGATGATCACATTTCCTCTTGTCATATGTGTCCTCGAATCTCCTCCAGTCGCACCAAGTACAGGGCTAGAATTCCAAAGCCAGTCCCTACATGTTTGACTTTTGGGCAAGAAGTGATAAAGCGTTCAATTATTGCATTTTGTATTTAAAAGTATTCAGATTACACTAAAGAAGAAAATAGGAATTATATGAAAAAGTGCACATTGTCAGGGTCAGAAGGAAAATAATAATTAAACCATAAGCTTTGTTTAAAGAAGGATGATGTCCGCTTGTATCAAATAAATAAAACTGCATGTATGTTCTTTTTTTTAAAGGTATTTTAGATTTTATTTTGTTATTTATTTTATTTTATATTATTTAGATAATATTTTAGTAGCTCTCTTCAAGCCACTGAATAAATTGTTTTGATGTCACTGCTTTAAGTTATATAACAAAATATTTCTTCACTTTAGTTGCATATGGCATGTGCAAGTGGCTACAAGGAGGTGGTGTCTCTTCTCCTGGAACATGGCGGGGACCTGAATATAGCAGATAATCAGTACTGGACCCCACTTCACTTGGCAGCAAAGTATGGCCAGGTAAAATGATCTCCTACATTATTTTAAAAAATCTTTCTATAATTAATGCATCATTTCATATTTAACTTTTAAATTTCAAATTGTGTACTAGTCAGCATGAAGTTTGACTTTTAATGGCATCCTGTTCGTAAACAAGTATTTTCATGGTTGAACGAAAACATTGTCTTTTGGAAGGATACATAAAACACACAGTCCTCAGGATTCTGCATATCGTTGTCAAAATTGTTGGAGAAATAAGACAAAATCATAAACATTTTTCATAGAATGGACTTATTATTTTCTTAACATTATGTAGTCCTTATAGTAGTTTATAATTTTATGAATTCTTAATTCTGTTTGTTCTCTGTAGTTAGTAGAAGTAAAGCAGAATTCCACTTTATGTTTTAGTTTTTCACTATAAATTATATTTCATCTTGACAAATGAAGGTGAATAGCAGATTTTTTTCTCTGAATTGGTTTTTGGTCATAGTTAATACAACTTGAGTTAGTCTCGCACAAATGACTTTCTCATCAGGTACCATTATATCATCAGGAAGAAGCAAACTGACTTTTAAATGATTTTATGTGGGTGAATGTGGCAGCAGTGTTCATAATAACATTAATTTTGAAATCTATTTATACAATACACAATATTTTGTGTTGGAGAAAGCCTGGGTACTGTTTTGGAAGAGAATTCATTGTTAAGTAAATGTGGAGATTTAGGTTAAACTTGTTGCTTCTCAAACGTTGGTCTGGGGTAACAATCATGCCCCTTAGGTTCATTGTAAGTTAAGTCTCTTAGGTACTAACTGGTATGCAAAATAACCATCATAAAATCTGAGTACTGCAGTTGTTGAAATAATTGAAACCATTTGCATTTCACACATTTTAGAAAAAGCACATTGCTTAGTTACCCGTAAGTCTTTCAAAATAATAAAAACATTGTTTGCTTTGACATTTCCTTTATGAAAAGTTTCATTTTTTTTTTTAAAGATTTTATTTATTTATTTGAGAGAGAGAGAGAATGAGAGAAAGCACGAGAGGGAAGAGGGTCAGAGGGAGAAGCAGACTCCTCGCTGAGCAGGAAGCCCGATGTGGGACTCGATCCTGGGACTCCAGGATCATGACCTGAGCCAAAGGCAGTCGCTTAACCAACTGAGCCACCCAGGCGCCCGAAAAGTTTCATTTGTTAATAAATATTTCTAACAGGCTCTTTATTAAGGTACCCCAAACTGTGTGTTTAGCAAGTGAATGTTTGTGTAAGTAAATGGATGGGTTAAGGGGAAGAGGCTGCAGATAGCTGAAGTCATCGGTCACAGGGGTCAGAGGTCCCCGGTCCCCCCAGTAGATCACAGGAGTATTGGAGGATCAATAATCTAGGTACACCACAAACACATCGGTGCTGCATTTCTAGCACCATAGCATACCAGAAAATGCTGGGTGAGAGGTTTTGTCTTCAGTAAAAAGTAGAGAAGCAAACACAGAAGCAAGTACTTCCTTGAATACAACCTGTTGACCTGTGCAGAGAAAACGGTGATTGGTGAATTATCAGAATGTGCTCATTATAGTCAGTGCTCCCTCTGGAAGGAGCTAAATCTGCAAGTGAGTGAGAGCTTGGTAAAATGTGACAGAATGCTACTTACTTCAACTCAATTAATTAAGGCTTTCATTCTACCCATTTTTTCAATTTTTCTGATTGGACTTTTAGATTTCAGATTGGGTTCATTTTAAAGAATACCAAATTGGTTCCCTTTAACCACTTTCATAAGATAATGGGAGAATAGGACTAGATTTAACAAGTTTTTCTAAAGACATGCCTTGGGGGTTGCCTGGGTGGCTCAGTTGGTTAAGCATCTGCCTTCGGTTCAGGTCATGATCCTGGGGTCCTGGGATCGAGCCCCACATTGGGCTCCCTGCTCAGTGGGGAGTCTGCTTCTCCCTCTCCCTCTGTCCCTTCTTCTTGTGCTCACTCTCTTGCACGCTCTGTCTCTCAAATAAATAAATAAAGTCTTTAAAAAAATAGACATGCCTTGGACTGAATATGTCACTATTGCTGTTATTAGACATTTAAATAATTTTTATCAGAAGCCAGTGTGTGGCTTTTGTTTTATTTGGTTGCAAGTCAAATGAAATATTTGGTATGAGTTGGTGTATTATATTTGTTACTGTATTTTTTGGTTCTATGATTTCCCATTTGTTTTTTATTGTAACTTCTATGTCTTTGATGGGATTTCCTATTTTTTTCATTTGTTTCAAGGGGATTTGTAGTTGCTTATTGAAGCATTCTTATGAGATCTGCTTTACCCTCATCATCAGATGATTCTGGCATGATTCATCTTGCTGTTGTCAGTTCATCATCTTTTCTCATTCAAGTTGTGATTTCCTGATCTTGGTATGACAAGTCATTTTTAATTGCGTTTTTAGATACTTCAGCTATTATGTTAGGAGAATCTTGGTCCTGTATAAATCTTCTATTTTAGTCAGCCTGTTTGTGTTTGATATGCAGGGCCTGGTCTACTCCAATGGGTTGTGGTTCCAGTAACAGTTTAATTTTCAGACCTTTGATGTGTCATTTTGGTCCACTTGGCCTATCTGGTGCCCCTGGGGTCCTCACTGCTTCTTCTAGTGTCCCCAAAGGGGTGAAAGAAGAGGTTTTCCCAAGCCAGATTACCCCATGTCTCAGGGTGAGGTAGGGGGATCTCCACAAAAGACTTTCAGGGCTGGGGGCCCATTGGGTTATGCTCCCTCTTGCAGGTGCCCCTCCCAGCTGCCCTTGCCTCTCATCAGGGAGGGGAGTCTCAGCTCAGTGGAAGAAGAGTGCTTGCCCTGGCACTTTGTGTTAGCAGATTGTGGTGCTGGACTCACCTGATGTTGTCCGAGGGACACAGCTAAAATGTGGGAGGGATACCTCGACCCAGGCCATCTTCTGTCCCTAAGTTGGGCTGGGAAACACCGGGTATAGGCTAGCCTTTGATTGGGTAGGGTTCCTGTCCATGATTCCTTCCTTCTGCAGGTCCTGAGCCAGTTTACCTTCCTCCTTCCCTCTTCAGAGTTCTTCTTGGGTTTATTGTAATTAACAGGGCGGATCAGAAAGAACCAGTCTAAGCTGGTATGTTTTAAAACAACTGCTCTGTTTCAAAAGAATTACTGACTTCTGAAAGCCTCCTGAAGCTTAATAGAGAGTGAAGGAAGGAAGTTAATTTATGGTTATTTTCACATGAAACCCATCTGCGGGCAGAGGAGAAATGAAGATGCTTTTATACAATTTCCACTGTGAAGTGTCTACCAGCATCTTTGACTCTGCCTGTTGAACATGTCTCAATGTGACTGATTCTTCCTGACTCATAATTTGAAAGAGCATCTAGACATTTCTGTTCTGTGTCCTGGAAGCTGTATGATTAAAGCAGCAAGAATGAGTGGCTTTCAGAAATTCTACCCCTCAGGCAATCAGATGGAGCTCTTGATCCTTTTCCCAGTAGTTGCCTCTGCCGTGTCAGAGGCCAAGAGTTCTGTGTGAAAATAAGGAATTGACCTTTCAGGGAAAGGTTTCACAGGAAACCCTACCCTCCAGAAATGGAAAGTTCTACCCGAGAGACTACATTTTTAAAGTGCCTGCAATTGAGCTTTATTATAGGATAAGTGTTAAAAAACAGGATTGGAGTCTGATAAAACTTGTATCAGGGAAAGAGACCTATTTGATAGAACCATGATACAAGACTAATGAATATATTAAACTAATAAAACAGGTTGGCTATATGGTAAAAAAAAAAAAAGGCAGTTGGTTTTAGTAATGAAAGTAGAATTTTTTCCTTCAAATTTTTTATTGTTATGTTAATCACCATACATTACATCATTAGTTTTTGATGCAGTGTTCCACGATTCATTGTTTGTGCATAACACCCAGTGCTCCACGCAGAATGTGCTCTCTTTAATACCCATCACCAGGCTAACCCATCCCCCCACCCCCCTCCCCTCTAGAACCCTCAGTTTGGTTTTCAGAGTCCATCGTCTCTCATGGTTCATCTCCCCCTCCGATTTCCCCCCCTTCATTCTTTTCCTCCTGCTATCTTTTTTTTTTCTTAACATATATTGCATTATTTGTTTCAGAGGTACAGATCTGTGATTCAACAGTCTTGCACAATTCACAGCACTCACCATAGCACATACCCTCCCCAATGTCTATCACCCAGCCACCCCATCCCTCCCCCCCCCCACCACTCCAGCAACCCTCAGTTTGTTTCCTGAGATTAAGAATTCCTCATATCAGTGAGGTCATATGATACATGTCTTTCTCTAATTGACTTAATGAAAGTAGATTTTTTAAAAAGATTTTATTTATTTATTTTAGAGAGAGATCCCACTCATGTAAGTGGGGGGAGGGGCAGAGGCAGAGGGAGAAGCAGACTCCCTGCTGAGCAGGGAGCCCGACTCGGGGCTCAATCCCAGGACCCTGAGATCATGACCTGAGCTGAAGGCAGACACTTAACCAACTGAGCCACCCAGGCGCCCCATGAAAGTAGATTTCTAACAATTTTAATTTACACAGTTACATTTGAGAAAAAAATAATGATTGGCATATATATGGAGCATGATAGCTGCTGTGATGTACAGAACATAAGCCCAGTACAATGGCCACCTCCTTCCTAAAGCTTCCTGGGGATTCCCATCACACACAAGTTATAGGATGCAGGAGTGGCTGATGAATAAGGCAGGAAGAATCCATGGATGGCAGTACGCTCAACCCATTACCTGCCATCTTTGAACAATTTTTCAAACTTTGGGCTTTCTGAACCTATATTTTCAACCTAGGGAAAGAGTTCTGAACTTACATGGGAAATGGTACCCAAAGCTACATTTAATTTGCAAGATGCAGAGTAATTAAGACTTATGTTTTTGTAACTACTTCTCTGATGCACCAGTGATATTTCAAACACTCATCATTTATTAATGATAAGTGAATTAAGAAACCCTTTCCAATTGCTCCATTTATTCTTTCAAAACCAGCTGAAAAATATTTGACC